ACACACACCTACCACATAAATTTATGTAAACAAGGACTCCATCTTGATCACCGGCGCAGGTCACCAGTGCAGGGCGTGTTCTCCTGAAGTGTCTGTCATCTTTATGTGTTGACTCACACCTACTCCGCGCCGCAGGATCAGCAAAGGCCAAAACCATATAACTATTATAACATAAACCAACTGAGTCACAAGCCCAAAAGCAACTGAGACATGAATAGAAGAATTCAACAAAGCAGCTCATAAGAAGTACCTGGCAAAGGCCAGCAACATCAAAAGGGCACACATCCGACACCGAGGTACCAAGGACAATTCCTGTGACAAGACGAGTCGCATACCTGCTTGTCCCGTTATGACCTTGTGGGCAAGAAACGCCAATAACTCGTACAAAAAACGAGCCGGCAAAAGTGTTGCCCGCAATGCGCACCGGAAGCTTGGATGCCAGCTGCAGTAGATATTACCAAAAAGAGCATAATTTCATCTCAAACCCACAGCAACTACCAACAAGACTTCACAGCCAGAATAAGTTACGAAGGAACTCACCCACAAAACGAAATGACAAAACAACTACGAGGTATAGCTGAACCGATCCACTGTGCAGTCCGGGGAACCAAGACAGACAGAAAGCGCACACCTCCGGGCAAAATTGACAAAATGCAACGCATCTCAGAGAGTCTCGTCAATACCCAGTCTGGGGAACCAAGAGAGACGATAACGCCATCAAAACGAAACGACAAACCACACACACCACCGGGCAAAAAGCGCACACCTCCGGGCAAAATTGTCAAAATGCAACGCATCTCACAGAGTCTCGTGAATACCCAGTCTGGGGAACCAAGACAGACGATAAGTTGATAACACCATCAAAACGAAACGACAAACCACACACACACCACCGGGCAAAATTGGTAAAATGCAACGCATCTCAGAGACTCTCGGGAATACCCAAGCGCTAACTAGACCTTGTGGTACACATGCCTGTGACAGAGCTTCATCGGCATTTCAGTATTCGTTTGTTGACGTGTGATGACATATTGTCGGAGTACAGTGCCAATGATTAACAGTAGAGCTCACACTCACCTAACCAGCTGTTCCTGCCAATCCCTAAGCCAAATGTGAACCACAGAAAATTACCATAAAGCAGTTTCTTGATGAAGCGTGCAATTGCACGTAGGGGTGATGGCACTTGTGAGGAGGAGGAATAGGGTTGCGAAGAGAGCAGAGGAAATGCGGAGGAGGAAGCGTTATGGGAAAATTCGTGGTGACAGATTCAAGACTACTCTCTCTTAGCCTCTTAAGTGGCCAGAGCGCCGAACTCGCAGGCGGGTAGGGTAGTTCTGACGCCAAAACTATTGCAGACAGACACATACGTGAGGAGGAATAGGGTGGCGAAGAGAGCAGAGGAAGTATGGAGGAAGAGCCTCATCGCAGGGGAAAAAATTCGTGGCGAAAGATTAAAGACTCTCTCTTAGATTCCCAGGTCAGTAGAATGACAAACTCCCAGGCAGGTAGCTCGGATGCCATACCTGGCAGGCAGACACATGAGTGAGGAGCACTAGGGTGACGAAGATAGCACAGGAGGAGGAAGCATAAAGAGAGGAGGAAGCAGAAAGGGAGGAGGAAGCACAAAGGGAAATTCGTGGTGAGAGAGGAAAGTCTCTTACCCTCTTAGGTGGGTAGAACGACAAACTTGCAGGCAGACAGTTGAGATGGCAAAACTGTTGCAGGCAGACGCATAAGGAACCACAGGTGAAGCAAAGAGAGAAGACGGCGAGAAAATGGATTTCCAGCACCACGAAGATTGAGCTTGTGCAGATACACACAATTCGTGGAAGAGAACAGCCAGCACTCAAGACACATCACAAACCAAGTCTGATATCATCTGAATGTCACACATCCGGCTGGCGGCATCTGAATTGCATTCCATACAGGCCAACCCGATGTACATGGCCTGGCTGAACATAGGTGCCTCTACAATAGCACGCAATCAATCCTAGTCAATCAAGAGTCGTGTACATTGTCAATAAAGTCTGACCACACCAAAAGGCCCCTGAACTTCGTACCCCACTATATCACTCGCACCTCTGTTGAAGGGGTCTGATCAATTGGCAGTTAGTTGCACGCATAACTGCCTTTGCTCTCAGGTAAACTTCCATTCACTCGCTCAATCGAATGCGGAGCCTGCATATGAGAGTACACATATACGAATATCCATACAGCAAAACCCTGTGGCATGGCCACTGATCGGCATGGCATGCACAACAATCAAAGCAGTTCAAAAGCAAGTCTCCCTCCGATTCTCTCACTCTCATCTCCTGAGCCACCAATCATCATCATCTGCCTTCTCTCTCTCTCTCTCTCTTCCCCCCCCCCCCTCACCCTTGGCTCAAAAAGTTAACCAGAGACAAGGTTACCGGATGTCAGTTGCGAGAGAATGGCTTGACAGCGACAGCCTGCTGCCTCTTTCTTGGCTTCCCACCAATGCCGGAGCATACCCACTTTTATTACTCTACTTTGAACTCCTTGTGGCCACTGTACCCTACCCATTCAGGCATAAGCCTGGGCTGGGTGGGCCCTGCATCACACCGATTGTCCATCACCAATATGAAGTGCTGATAACTCGTCAGTTGGAGGCGATTGAATTTGTGCCTGCGCCATCTTCAAGACCTCCATTGCTTCTGAAACCTTCGACTGAAGTGCTTCCGGCGATTCAATCAAGTGCAACACCTCCGTCTGATCCATTTCCAGGAGCATCCCGGTAACCTTTCCTGCATGATCGTGCTCTAACCGCTCCACCAGGGGGTACAGAGACTCTCCAAGCATCTGGGACAAGACATCATGTAGCACAATACCCAAAAAACGTCAAGGGCTTACGGCGAAATTGGGTTTGCATTTTGGTCGCAATGCTTCCTACTGTAGAAACAGCTCAGGCGAATGTAAGGCTGGTTAGCACACATTCAGATGGGAAATGAGTCAAATGACATCATCATATAGCAGAATACCCAAAAAAGAAGAGTCTTAAACCACCAGTACACGGTCCCAGGCTTGCAGTCCGAAACTTGTCGCCACAAGAAAACGAGGCCTCGAAACGTCAAATGCCGCACCCGTCGTCGATAAATTAGATCGGCGGTCGCGGTTTCGTTTCGTGCCTCCAGAAGTTGAGGTGTCAGGGCTGCCGCCCAGGTGCCCATGTACTGGTGCTTTAAGGACTCGCATATCTGTCACAATCCATCTCACTGCAGAAACAACTGACTCAATTGCAAACCTTTATGACAGCACGCATTCAGATGCCTAAGATCACACAAAAACTGAAAAAGAAGGAAAACAAAGAAGGAAAAAACGCTGACCGCGGGTTTGTTCAAAGCTGGCCACATAGGGTAAATCTGGGTGCTGAAGGGACAAGGCCCATAGACCTGGGGTCGGTTATCAGACGTTTTCCTGGGAGTGAGAGATGCTCGCACTCATGGATGGGAAGGTACCCACTGGTCCTACGCAGAAGTCCCCCTCCAAGATCCCTGGTGATAAGCAGGAGAAAACACATGGTGTGGACATCCCCCTCAGCTATTCCTAATTGCCATCCAGGGAATAGCCTAGATGCTTGTGCTCATGTGCACCCTGGCCCAGTTTTCTAGACCCTCCCATAAATCTAAGAGGTTACCAGTACGCCCTTGTCTTTGCCTTCCCCCCGGACCGCCAGGCAGTGCTGCGTGGTCTTCATGGTTAGCTCCTGGCTCTGTTTGTAGGCACTTGAAGTGCGACGCCTTGGGTGTTAGGGCCTGCCCTCACTGGTCTGTATCTACGTCTATCTTTGAAGATACCCTGGCTCTCATTTTGACCATCGGATGTCCTTGTGGAACCCGATCCAGCGCATTGTGACCGCACCCTCTATTTCCATATCCGAGCTCCTTGTTTGTTTCTTGGTGGTAATTGGGGAGGGCGATGGGTGGTTGTGCAGCCTGTGTGAAAGCCACATCTATCTCGAGTGAGGAGGGGGGGAACCCAAGGGCGTTCCCCTCTATATTTCCATTCCCGGAATTTTCATTTCTTGGTGGCAATGGGGGAAGAGCAGCAAGACGAGACTTCTTCGTGACATAGTGCATGACCACCATGCGCAGAAAACAACACAGAAAATAACAAACCTCAGCTTCCAGGACACGGCGAAACACCCGCAAGGCACAGAAAGTGCAGCCCTACTTCACACAGCAAATATGCAGGCTCCATCCAAACTGCAAACAGGCGAGCAAAGCTTGCAAATGGAGGTAACAAAGAAATGCTTACCGTTCGCTGTTGTTCTGACGGGGCTGATGCCAGTGCGCTTGCAAGGGCGCTGATTGATGAGGCAGCTGGCTCTGGCGTCGGAATTGGCACACCCATGTCCACTGGTACTGGGAGCATAGGACCAACGGGAACTCCTTGGGGGGGGACCGTTGCAGTAGGATCAACTGCTACCATTCCAGTGTTCCGTGCGTTTACAGTGTAACGGAAAGCTCTATTCCCTCCCCTCTGCACAAACTTATGAATCCAAAAGAACATACACGCACCAAGATGAAGATCGGTTCAGAAAATTGACACTGAACGATTCCTATTGACTGGACATTAAACGACTATGAGACAAGAACCACCATGTTGCTGCCAATCATGCACACTTCCAGCAATGCAAAAACTCCTCCATCCTCACCAACCCACCACCACCACCATCACCACAAGTAACATCACTTCTCAACTGTTCCACCCGCCTGCAGGCGTCCAGCAATGCACACTTCCAGCTCTGCAAACACCCTGATACTTGTCCTAAGCATACACATTGGCAGTGACAAAGTACCAATTGGTTATGCCAAAGACTGAAAAGGATTGCATTCCTCACACTCAGCGAAGCACGTCCGTCAGACACTGAATGTACAACTCCATGGAGTTTGGAGAGCCCCGCACAATTGCCTGCTTGCCCGGTTAGCAGCAGAGCAACACATCCATCAGATGCTGAAGATGAGCACAAGAGTGAGACAGTGCTGCTGAAGGCTTGGGGGAAGCAGGGGGGGGGAATGAAATCTAGAAAAGGATGTTGAGGTCTTGCAAACACAACAAGGGGATGGATGGAATTTCAAGAGCAATCAGCAATGCCCTTTCGTGGAACCCTAATTGCGTCATCTCAGAACGAAGGAGGAGCTGTCATTACAGTTGGGCTGGGATAACTGATAGTGTCATGGGCAGTGAGAGCTTCCAACACCCCAAGTGATGTCAAGCAGACGTGATGGCAGACTTTACCTGTTGCTGTGCATTTTGTGACTGTGGTTGCTGTGCATTAGTTCCTCGTCGGCCTGCTGCACGTTGCGCTTGTCCTGGTTGCCTCTGCAGGTTCATAGCACCAGTAAAGCCAGCATGCTGATCATATCAGATCCATCCATCCACAAGAGCACAGCATCAGACCAACCACTCGTATCATGCACTTGAAGTATTTTTCAGTGCACACACCCCCACATAAAAAAACACCCATAATCCTCTACCATGCACAAACAAAGCAAGAGGCCCATTCCATCGAGTCAAATAGAGTGCATTGTGAATACTTTTCCGAGCAGAACATGCAGGCAAAAGCAACATGATAGCATCCATGCGGAATATCATTCCAGATCCAAACACGCAAAGAAGAATGACCTCGCAAACACGGTTCCCAAATTCTGATGATATTAAACAGGAAAAAAAAAAGTGCATGAAGGGCACCTCAGCACATCTCCATTTCCCCACCCTCAGAACCCCATACCTCTCTTTCTGTTTTCCGGACTTCTGCTGAATCTGCTTAGCAATGCATACCTCCAATCACTTCACCGCTCCACACAATAAATGGTAAGGGAACAGGAATAGAAGTGCATGCAATGCAAGTCACTGTCTCCTCGCTCCTAGTGCACAAACATAGTTGGCCATCTCCCTCACCCAGAAAACTGACAATGCCTGTATGCTGAATCTCCACCCCCATATGCGGTCCCGCTATGACTGCTCCCTCTCTGTAGACTGATGCACCTGGACAGAAGCCCCCGACTGCTCTGTGTGGGAAAAGCACCTATCTTAGGTAGCCTGTGAACTATCTACTGGTGCATTGGAGAATATCCATATCCCATTTACTGCATGCGACGACGACTTCATAAAAGATGCGGGAGCTAGAGGCACACCCAAGTTATTCTTCATAATAGTGTCAATGCGAGGCCTGTGTCAGGAAATGTGGCGATGATTCGCTGATGAAAGATCACCACCAAAGAAAAAAGGAAAGGCCTGGGCAGGGAGGAAAGGGTGGAGCAACAACGCTGACACTGAGATGTGAGGGACAAGGGGTGAACAGTAGCAAAAGATCACTGCTCACGTGGTTTACCAGATATTCGATGTGGTGACTTCAAATATGGTGTTTACAGCGAGGCAAGGTGAGGGGGAAGGGTGAGGGTGGGTTGGATTGGGGGTTGGGGGGGGGTAGGAATGAAGATGGTTTCTTGGGCAAGACCACTGCCCACGTAGTTTACCAGATATTCGCTGTGGGTGTGCCAGAGCTGTGACTTCAATCATCGTGTTTACAGCGAGGTTAGGTGAGGGTGTGTTGGGGGTTGGGGGGGAGCAGGAATCAAGATGGTTTCTCGGGAAAGATCACTGCTCACGTGGTTTACCAGATATTCGCTGTGGCTGTTCCAGAGTTGTGACTTAAATCACGGTGTTCACAGCGAGATGAGGCGAGGGAAAGGATGAGGGTGGGTTGGGGGGGGGAGGGGAGGAGGGGGGCAGAAATGAAGATGGTTTCATGGGCTTAAGAACCGTTGGAATGAGTTCTTCAGTAACATCAGCACCAGGCATACCTCCAAAGGCCACAATAGAGAACAACATGCTAGGAATGCTGACGTGCAAATGCACGGCATACTTATTTAATGGATTCAGGAGCAACCAATACAATCTGGTAGCATCAACAGGAGACTTCAAACAGAAGCACACTATAGAGTAGAGATGGGCAAAGCACTGAAGAGCTGTCTGCAGTCAAGCGGGTAGCTGACAGTACCTGCATTACAGGGACGAAATAGTTTTGAACCTGCACACCAGGCCTTATGCTCGCTGCCAGGACCTGTTGCTGGTAACCAAACCCTACATTTGGCTAGTCACAAAGAGAGCACGCACGAGAGAGCAGGAGAGAAGGGGAGGGGAAGAGGGGACAAAAAAAGAGAACATAAAGAAGAGTGGCCGCGGTAAGGAGAAGTCTCGTGAGAGTCAACCCAACTGCTCAGCAAGTTCCATTTACATGCCAAGTGCCTCACTACATAGTAAAACCTTCCATCGCACAAACCATCAGATCAGGCTCCACTGAAAGAAAGATAAAAAGAAATGACCAGGGCAAGGGGAAGTGCTATAAGAGCCATCCGAACTGCTCAGCAAGTTTCATTCACATTAAAGTGCCTCACTACGTAGTAAACCTTGCACGCACAAATCAGCTGACCAAACTCCACAAAATCTTGTCAACCTAACTCATGTTCTCATCATCTGCAAACAGCATAAACCTTATGCATGTCAAGGTGCAAGCCATTCTAGCACAAGCAGAAAAACCCAGGGCACAAGTCCTCCCCCTCAAGGACCGCATTCCCCCCTAACTCATGCTCTCAAAATCTGCAAGAAGCATAAACCTTATGCAGGTCAAGGTGCAAGCCTTTCTGGCACAAGCAACAGTACCCAGATCAAGATCCCTCCCCCTCAAGGGTCGTCTTTCCCGTTCCCTCCCCTCTCCCCCTCAAAACGTCCTCCACATCAAGGACCACTCCCCCCTAACTCGTGCTCTCATCATCTGCAAGAAGCATAAACCTATGCATGTCAAAATTCAAGCCATTCCGGCACAGGCAGCAATACCGGACCACAATTCCTCCCCCAGAAGGGCGCCACTTTTCACACTTCCCTGCCTCCCCCCTCTCCCCCTCCTACCCCAACTCATGCTCTCAAAATCTGCAAGAGGCATAAACCTTATGCGTGTCAAGGTGCAAGCCATTCTGGCACAAGCAGCAGTCCCAAGACCAAGATTCCTCCCCCTCAAGGGTCACCTTTCCCCATCCCTTCTCTCTCCCCCTCAAAACGTCCTCCCCCTCAAACCACTACCCCATAACTCGTGCTCTCATCATCTGCAAGAAGCATGAACCTGTGCATGTCAAAATGCAAGCCATTCCGGCACAGGAAGCAATACCGAGACCAAGATTGCTCCCCCAGAAGGGCACCACTTTTCAGTGCTTCTCAGTGCCTCCAGCAGCATGGATCTCATCCTGAGCGCTATTGCAGCTTTTGCCAACGTTAGTGTCCCGTAAGGGTCTTAAAATATGCATATCGCCTCTGCACCCATCACAATAATAATATATAGATAGAGATTGTGAGGGTTACGACTCCCTGCATTTCCCAATGACAAATCCACAGTGGAGCTCCATCATGAGCACATACTGCCCTCTTCTGGGATGCAAGAGGCACGGAAACCTCAAGTGCCAAAGGAATCTTCAAGGCACAGAACAGCAGTCAAACTACAGACAGTTCTACACACCTGTAACTGAAAACATAGAGTAACTATAAAGCTGTCAGAAGACGTCTTATATTATATGTGCTTTTAATGCATGGGCACAGACGCAGAAAGGCTAGCATTTTTTAACAGTGCAAGACGTTCTGGCAAAAATATCTCAACCCACCATACAAAGAAATTCCTTGCCCTCATCCAGGAGGGTGGCCAAACTCAGAAGTATCTCTTCCTCAGGACTGTGCTAAGACAATTCACGCCGAACTTCAACAAACCTCTGACAAATATAAACACATGTTTTGGTCCGTTAATGGTGGGGCACGCATTGGAGCAATCAAAAGCTGACAAGGCATGGGGCACTAATAACAACGGTGGTAAAAAAAAATGGACACAGAAGGTTGTCAGAACACTCGTGCACCGTGAAAAGGTAGGTTGCTTCCATCAAACATCTCCTGAGTCCCTAGACCACGAGTTGAAAACGCATTCCAGAGAACAAGTGTGAAGTGATTTGCATTCACATCAGACGCCTCACAACATGTCCATTTACTTGGATGTCCACACCCTAGATGTTGAACCGTCAAGACTGCTCTCCCACCCCCACAGGAGTAACCTCAAGATCCGCGAGAGAACACGACCCCCTGTATGACCAACTGGGAAACCCTAAACATCGGCGCCCTCAAAAAACTCTTCAGAATCACAGGCTCAGAGACAGAGGGATGCACAGAACAAACCCCCCTTGCTCAAATGGAACTAAACCAGGCTTGGCAGGACCTTATCAGATGCATGAACTAAAAACAAAGGGACACAAATAGGGCCACTACGGGGTTAACATGATATCCTTCGCCGCACCCAGCTACGTGCCTACTGTACCGCTAATAGCCCTTGCCGACCTTAACTTCCCTACAACCTGCCTCCCCCTCCTCCAGCAGTATGTGAACCCCCACAAACTTCAATTCTGAATCACGGGCCTTTGTGAGTGTCGAGAGACAACAGCGATTTATGCTATTAACCACAAACCAGTGTCGAGAGACAACAGCGATTTACACTATTAACCACAAACCATCCCCATCCCCAAAGAACAATGGAGATGCAACCCCGAACCCAAAACAACAAGACCTCGACAACAAGGATCACATGAACCACGAAAAGTGTCAACACAGAACTCTACTCTGGGGTGTGGACACTGCACCAGGGGGTAGAGCGATCACACAGGTTCAGCATAGAAACGCAGCAGCAGACAGAACATAACCACGATTAGCAAATTTCACAGGTACCTGAGGCATGAGACCTGGATGCGGTTGGCCATAGAATATCTGCTGGCCCATTCCCGGAGCAGCAGGATGATAAAGCTGCACATTGGCAGGAACAGTTGCGACTCCAGTGTTCAGTCTCTGGGAAGAAAATTGGGCCTGCCACAGGCAACATGACACACGAGCTGTCGCAGGTCATGATAACCAAAGACCAAAAAATGTGCGAACTGTTGAAAGAATATCGCAGGAAAGACCTGACCTTCTAACCCTAGCAGGCTAGCAGCATAATACCTGTGTCAAACGAACGACAAGCGTACCGGGTAAGTGGGCTTATCATCTTCGGCCAACTCTGAAAGGGCAAGGACCGGTGGATCTCGGGCACACCACAGCGACGGATTCCCTGTGGGTGTTGTGAACTCGCCTTCTTTCGATAATCAAGTGACTTGCGGGACCAGATCACCAAACATAATTGCTGCGCACAAAAGGAAACGACCTCTGTGGCAGTTGCGCACCAATGGTAGAATGCTGCTGACTCTAGCATGTATGACCAATGGCGGGAAGGACATGTAGTTAGCATCAGAGATAGACATATATGTACAGGATACGTGCTCGAGCGGACGACCCTTTATGGTTTTTAAGGTCTAATGAAGATTTAGAGACCTTGTATACAAGCTCGCCTGTGAGATGAGAATGACAGCTGAAGAGAACCGGACAAAACAGCGAGACATTACCAATTGGAGTTGATGCAAACAGTATGAAAGTTTTGCACCGGCAGATGCAGAAGACTGACGAGTAGCCAAATGGGTGGGATAATGAGACAAGAAGAAAAGTCTAGAATTACCTGCAACCTTGCTTTCCTCTCCTCCTTCCTCTGGGCCAGTGCCACATACAGTGGCTTACTGCGAATCATTCGGCCATTCATTTCCGTAACCTGTTGCAGACAAATGCAAAGCTGTCAAAAAACAAACAAAAAGCACTGGCACTTACCCTCCTCTCATTCTCCTGCTCTCCCTTTCGCGTACTCGAGCAGCCTGCACCTCCTCTAAGAGACAAAGGATATCACAGTGTAGAAGATCGCTACGGACATGGTTATTGGACAAGCCCCCCACCAGAGGCACATCCAGTCCTTGATGCAGCATGTACACTCAGCGAATGGGCGAGAGGGAGCAGGGAACCAACCACCATTCTGCTACATTTGCATCGCAAGCTATCAGCCCCCTCACATAACACTCGACATGAATTGACCAATTATTTTGAGAACAGAGGACATGAGAATTGTTCACCCGGCCAAAGGTCTCAAAAACACATCCGCAGGCCAACGGACACACAGCATATCAATGTATCGAGCAGCACTCTAGCAACTCAACTACTCTGTCAATAGAAAACCCAAGCAAACAAGTCCCCATCCCAGACAAGGATCCTGTCCAAAATGCGTACATCACTCACACAAAAACAGAAGACAGTCAAACGGCCAAATGGAGGAAAGGAAGCTTACCGCTCGTGTTGCCTCCTCGGGAGAGGCAAAAGCAACAAAACCTGAGCCTCTGCTCTGACCTGCAGGGTCCCTCATGACCTGCGTTTGCCAACAAACAACACACACATCAATCTTCCTCACTGAAGTGCCAAAGCTTCTGATTACAGAGATGGCCTGTAGCAACCACAACTCTCCAGGTGCAGTTTAATCCATAAGGACCCAAGGTACAATCTCAGATGTCGTTTTGACAAGTCATTCACTTTTCAACTTCAACCATAATAACAGAGAACTTACCTGTGCTAAACTAAACATACAGCGCCTTGTTTTCCAGCATCACTCCACAAAACTCGATGAGAACAAAAACAAACACTTCACACCAAGTGTTACAACTTTACAGCAATCGTCCTCAAGTTTGCAACCGAAAAATAACGACGAAATGAATAACTTGCTAAGAACTCAGTTCCAACTCTGCACAGACAGTCAAGGTCGTAACTTCTGGTAAGAGTCCAGGTTCACGGGTCAGAAGACACATCCCCTGCCCAAGAAGGGTCTCAGAAAGACCCTGGGTCAACAGGTACGAGGTCAAGGGTCAAAAGAGGCAACCTGTGCCCCCCTTGAAGTGGTAGTATACTTCAGGAATACCAGGAGTCAGGCCCGACTCTGCAAAAGTAGTCCAACAGTTAGATATTTCTTACGAGTCTACCACGACCACAGATCTGATGCACAATCAGCGGTTGTATGTATACTGTATCAGACATTTCCAACGCCTAATGGGTCCAAGACACATCAGCTGACAGCAAATCTGGGCCACGTGAGATCCAGACTGAGGCAGGCCCATATCGGTCAACACTGCAAGAAGGCTGCCCGCCTGAGTCGGCTCCTTCATTCTGCTTTGTGCTACAGGAGGCTCCAGCGCTGCTCCATTCGGCGCTGGAGGCGGCAAGAGATGTTGGCACCAGGGAAGAAGAAGATGGCATCAGCCAGGAGAGAGAAGACAGACTATTCATAGCTAGGAAGGGCACCTGGGGGCAATAGCTATGGGATGGAGGAAGAGCAAGGAAAAGGGTGATCAGGATTTAACGAGGAAGACGAGAGAGTGAGGGAAGCTTACCTTGACTTACCTGTTAGCGCTGGTGGTACTGAGGCAATGGTTTGCACATGAAGACTGGAGGTGGCAGGCGCCAACCTCCATAGCTGAGCTTCACTGCCGGGGGATGTGCACCAGGGCAGGCAGCTGCAGGCTCTCTCTCTCTCTCTCTCTCTCTCTCTTTCTCTCTCTGTGTGTATGTGTGTGTTTATGCATGTCTCTGTCTCTCTGTTACATCTTCTATGCCACACGGGTCCTACCGGACCCGACTTAGGGCTAGAGGGACACATCAGGGCCTAAAGGCCCGACCTTGGGGGATAACAGACCGAAAGGCCACGACTTGGACCCGACTACGGACCAGGCCCAAATGACATTTCGTCTTTGGGCCTGACGGCGCCGTTTGAGGCTGCCGCTCTCCGGTTGGACCTGAATCGTCGATCTGGACGGTTCAGCCCCAACCAAGGCCTCGCAGCAGTGAGGCCGGTCCTCTTCGAACCAGTACTTCGTACTGGTCCGGCCTCACTTYGAGGCATCGACCCACCGGTATTCTACGCGGTGCGGTAAGGTCGGCGCCAGAGCGCSGTTTGAGCGCTATTCCTAGCGCAGGAGCGAAGGGCAGCAGCAGGGCGACCTAGCGCAGCGGCAGCAGCGAGCGAGGACAGCAGCAGCAGCACGGCGGCCATCGCCGCCTCAGCAGCAGCAGCTGCAGGTACCAGGAGGCGGGGATCTCTTCCTCCCTCCTCAGTCCCTTTCCCTCCTCCTCACCTTCATCTCTCTCTCTCTCTTCTTCTTCCCCTTCTTCTTCTTCTTCTTCTTCAGACCGGAGACCTATACTAGTTGGACAGAGATCAGTGTTGGACTTCGGTGGTATGAGACTGTGGTACTTACCGGATTG